CCCCCCACCTTATCACCTGAATCTCCTCCTAGAGCACCATTGTGTTCTTTTTAACCAAATATCTCTCAGAGGGGCGTGGGGAGTGGCTCCTTATTTTCATCTAAAGTAACAGACAGAGAATCAGCCCTTTTGAAACAGGGCTGAAACAGAGGGGATTATGGGATGCTACAATGCACGATCTGTTTGGTGTTTGAAGTCAAACACTTCAGAGACATGTTTTGTATTTATCTGAGACCTATAATATATTGATGAAAAACCGTATAATAGGGGACCTTTAACTCATACTCCAATACGAACATTTACAAATCTATGGGTGATTTCTACACAGTTTTCCCTAAAGTGTGTGTGCACCTTGTGTTTGTTGCAGTGCCACCCTGCTGGCCTTCCTGGTGGAGCTGTTGAAGAGCTCAGTGGCGATGCAGGAGCAAATGCTTGGTGGGAAAGGCTTCCTGGTGATTGGGTACCTGCTTGAGAAGGTCAGTAATCGGCCTCAGCAGTGAAGAGTGTGTCTTATGTTTCATATTACAATGTCCTCAACTAAGTTTCTCAAGGCTGGTAATTCCATCGTTTTCATAATGCGTACATTTCCCTTTACAATCCTGTTTTTTATTTGCTGTTTACTCTGGAACACCAAATAAACGCTCACTTTACACTTTTAGGAACAGCCAGGAGTTTCTAATAATTTGTGTCGAATGAGCCAATAAGAGAAGGCCTTCTGTAATGCAATATAGCCCAAAAGCACCAAATTAACCATGCAGTTAAATACAAAATGTGGTATTATTCATGAACAGAGAGTTTGTTATAGGACTGTTGTATTGAACTGGATATCTTTAACTACTAGTTGTACAAATTTCACTTGAGTTTTTTATGCAGTATACAACTCTTTCTTTTTTAATAATATGTTGTTATAATTTAGTCTTGTATCTTCTTGCTATAAAAGTAATTCACAGTATGCTAATTAAATGAAAGACTCAATTAAATGCTTATCACCTTTAGCTGTTAGACACCACAGGCACTTTGTAACCACGGTTACACTTGTTTCCTTCTTTCCCTTTAATCCTGTTTTCTGTCTGTGCTGACACTCTCATTCACTCTGTATGTCTCCTGTGTCACTAAAATATCAAACTGTTACCATGGCGAATGTGCATCTACTTTTCTGTATGGATGCACTTATTTTTTGTAACAGTTTAAAGAATATGCATTGGTGCTCTTTTGGTAATATCTTGCCCTTAAACATATCATCAAGGTGTGTTTTTAAATGAACGGTACAGTTTTACTTAAAGAGGCCCATCTTATGCTTTTTGTGTTTCCCCTTTCCTGTAGTGTGTTGTATAGGTTTTTGTGCATGTAAAAAAATAAACGGGCCCCTTTGAGAGTTAAAACGGGTGTTTGAGTGACCATTCCAATCCCAATTTATATTCCCTTTCTTTTGTCCAGTCGTCACGGGTTCACATCACCAGAGCGGTCCTTGAACAGTTCTTGTCCTTCGCCAAGTATCTGGATGGTTTACCTCATGGAGCGCCTCTTCTCAAACAGCTCTGTGACCATGTCCTCTTCAACGCTGCCATCTGGATACACACCCCTGCCAAGGTCTGTTTACTTGTGTGAACCTACTGACTGTGTATGTGTTTTCATGACCTTGCTGCACAACAAACTACATAGGGGGACTTGAATAGGAGAATGAATGGGTTGATAGAACCAGACCTTTGGTGTGAAATAGAAAAATAAGTGCTTTGGAGGATTTGTACAAGGCAAGTTGAAGCAAGCATGAAATACAAGACAGAGATGAAGAGGCACTGACACCTCAGTGCCCATTGCCCTTTACAATAATATGACAAAGGAGGTTACAGAACACGGAGTGAGGAGCTGGCACATCACGCAGGGAAAAACAGGAACACGTCGGAAACAAAGAGAAAAAGTGACATTTGAAAGGACCCCAGGACAGGAGAGAAATGTGTAGTCCCTTTTTTCCATCTCACTCTGAACTAGATGTGAGTGTTCCATGGCATTCCCGTAGGGCCAGTCAGCTCCTGCCTCGATTATTCTCAGAACTTCCTTTTCCCTCTGACCCTGAGATGCGATTGGCTCCTGGGTACAGCGATATCACTCTCCGGGGCATGCAGGAGTTAAGACAGAAGAAATGCGGCTGAGCATTTGCACCTCGGGAGAATAAGGCAGGTTTGAAAGTCAGAGTCGAACACAGCTGACACATTTCAGCCTTAGTCTAAAGAGTCGTAACAGAAGAAAACACGTGATTGCCTTTTGGGTTCATACTTTGAATTTAGTGCCAATAAAGGAAATGACAATGAACTGCTAGTAAACATAGAATTCAGAAGGGACATGTTGAAAGAACAATACAGACATAATACATTTAGTAAGCAGCAACACACCCACAAAATAATAATTTCTCCATTGTGTTTCCTCTGTTGTTCTATTCATGTCTCGCTGGGCTTTGTAATTGTATTATTATCACCTTCATCATTGGCAAGAATAGCCTAGGTCATATTCAGGACAGGAAACACTATATAAATGAATCACATCTGAAGAACATAGAGCCTTTTTTTTATCCTTCAAGCACTTCTGGTAAACCTAATCCTCTCAGAGATGGAGAAATATTTAATACGAGCTATTGCAGCCCAAAGTATTGTGCGCTGCTGAACCTGTGGTAAATCGTAGCAGATAAACACATGAGCTTATGAGAAAAGTAATTCAAAGAATCCATTTTAGATAAGCTGTGATAATGTATGGTCAGGCTAAGGCACTCCACTCGTTTCATCCGCTTAACCAGATCTAGCTTGTTAAGGCTCGTCGTGGTCACTGTAATGAGCTCTGAGATTTGTGCGCGAGGAATATTAAGAGAGGAAGAAAAGGAACAGAAGGAGGCAGCGAAGGAAGAGACAATTGGAAAGCGCCCTCCTTAAATGTCAGCGCTGCGTACGGTGCACCTCAGATGCTTCACTTCATGCTCCAGGCAAAGAAAACATAAAAAAAAACAACACAGAGCAGAAAACATTGGTGCTCAAGCTGGAGGGATGATTCCCTTTGAACCCCCTGTGCGGCTGTCTCAGAAAACGTCCTTTTTGTTTGAACACCATAAACACACACAGATCATTTGTTTCTCACCAGTAGGTGTCAGACAGTTTGTATTAGCTTGTGACCTTTGTGTTAATCTACACATATTTACACACACATTCAACCTGGTCTAAATTACATTGAGATTAAAATCTGTAACTTTGTAACATCAACAAGCAGGCAAATACTGTACACTGTCACACACTGCAAATATTTAAGCACAATGGATGTTTCGTAACCGGATGTTTGTGTATCCAGGTCCAGCTATCCCTCTACACATACCTGTCCTCTGAGTTCATCGGCACCGCCACCATCTACACCACCATCCGCCGCGTGGGCACCGTCCTGCAGCTCATGCACACTCTCAAGTACTACTACTGGGCCATCAACCCGCTGGAGTGCAGTGGAATCAACCCCAAAGGCCTTGGTAAGTTCACACCTGCACACGAGGAGTCATTTTCACTGTGAGAAGAAGATCATACAAAGTCTCTTACATTTACTAATGCACACTCCTAGAGATATTAAGACTGACTTTATGTATCAAACCTCATCTCCTTCACCATCATCTGCTTTCCTGTCCCTTTCTCCGTCTTTATTTGTCCTAAACAACGTTCTCTTTTGACACACTGTATTCTTACAGCACCATGACAAAAAGGGACTCACAGCTTTAGAGAAAATGTAAATAAAGGCATTTATCCATACACATAATGGCAATGGGGATACCTGACACGCATCAAATATGCTTTTACATTATCCATCCCTCCGTTTGTCTATCTTCTATGGTTAATCTGTGTGAAGGGAGATTGAGCCTGTTACAGGATGACCACACAAAGTTCGCATTCATGTGTGCAATTTAAAGGGGACCTATCATGCAAAATGCACTTTTGTACGTCTTTTATACATGAATATGTGTCCCCGGTGAGTCAGGGAACTCACCAAGTGTCAGAAAACACAACCCTCTCTCTTTTCCTCCATACCCAAATAATCCCTAAAAACGGGGCTGCAACGGAGCTGATTATTATTTTAATTTTTATGACGTCGGAAAAGGGGTGCTCCGCCTATATGGGCAACTCTCCACCTATCAGGGGAATGAGAGACCGCTCGAAAGCGCTGGAGACGCTGTACATATGCCAGGCCTGTAGGTGGCGCTGTAGTCTGCCACAAAAGCAGAATCAGCCCTTGCAAAAACAGGGCTGGAAAAGAGCAAATAGAGCGAAATGAGGCATGGCTACAATGCATGATCTGTTTGGTATTTTGAAAAAAAAACTTTACAGACATGTTTTTTACGGGTATGGCCCTACAATATATGTTTCAAATATAGCATGATAGGTCCACTTTAAGTTGTCGCGAGCTCCAACCAAAGTGCTTTGGCCAACAATGTCTAAACCCCCTCCCTCGACCCCTCTCTGACATCAGAATATGAGGGGGCTGTACCTGACGCTCACTGTACTGTAGCTTTCTGACAATCTGAAAGCATGCAGTGATTTGGCAGGTATGCAGAGGCGACAAAGTAATCAGGGTTTACACTCCAACAGATTTTATTAATACTTTTTGAGCTTTAGTTCAACAGTGCCCTTACTGTAGTTACATGTAGAAAACAGGAATTGCTTTTAATTATGTTTGATGATGATGTTCAGGATGAGTTCTCACATTAGTGTCCGTTTTGAAGCTGAAGTCAAAGTCTTTCAGGCTTGAATGGATAATGGATGTCTAATGGATTCATAAATTTGCAAAAACACCTTATGTAATGTTAGGTCGAATAATTACAGCTTCGTTAAATTGCACAAAATATGGATGGCTTCAGTATTTGATCTTCATTTCAGTATGGAGATAATGACAGGAAGTAAGTGGTCATTTATTCTATACACCATCTCTTCCGTTTCTTAAGAACCACTGTCTAGTTGCTCACGAGCAAGACTGAACAGCTCCCTTTTGACAGTGTTTCTGAATGTGCAAATAACACTATTGCGGGAAAAAGGAAGAATAAAAAGACCTAGAAGCCTGTGTTCCCAAAAACTATTTTCATTTGATTATTTTAAATTGAAATGCGTGCACATCCGTTTGAGCTTCCTGTGAATGAGGTGTATTTGTTTGATAACAAAGCTATTTGTCCATATTTAAAAAATAAGTGGAATTATAAAATGCACCGTATTCCTAACAACACCACAAATAATCCCATTTTGTATTTCCACTGCCTTTGTAACAATGCTAACACAGCCTCTGTTGCCTCACACCAGAGCTTCAGAAAGGTCGGCGTCGGCCCTTATCTTTAATCAACCTCATCTTTTGCCCGGGACCCTCCACGGACTATGAGAACGCATCCCATGTTGCCATGGCAGCAGACGGGTTTGATTGGCAGATCCAAGGGAGCTTTTGGAATTTCTAATCAACTGGCTGTCTGGTTTCCTTTCGGTTTTCCGATATTGCTGTTTGACTGCGGGGATTCAGCCCCGTGAAGAAGCTCTGATAACCGGGGCAATTAGCCTCAGCTGTGCTAATGGCCGTTCAAAGCTAGAGGATGTGCTCGTTGTGTTTTGCAATGGTGTGAACTTGCCTCTACTGTAAGAGTGTGATATGCCTTGATGGAATAATTTGCATAGTAATGGCCAGATATTTTGAGCTCAGTGGGTAAAATGTACTTAACTAGGCCTCAGTCTGAAGTAATGAGGTTGAATCCAAGTTGCACAGTACAACATTGTTTGTCCTAGTGTATTTTTACCATGCACCTGCTTTGAGTCTTGAAACTCTTCTTAGAAATACATAGTTCCTCTCTAAGCTTACCTCATATTATACAAATAGCCCCCTCTGATGTTAAAATAAATTGCTTTTGGGAAAATAAAGAGAGGGAATGTTTACCTTGACTAAAAAAAACCCACCTAAGGCCTTTTGCAAAAGTTAGCCACATTGCTTTTGAACTCTTCAGCTAAATTATATTCCAAGCAAAACTTTGATTTCAAAGCTTTTAGTGTGTGTGTAGAGTGTGTACTTATAGCAAGCAGCCCATCTAAGAATGAGCACAGATTCATGTAGAAACACACGCTCACACAGAACTGTATTAGCATAAAAATAAAAAGCTTCTTTGACTCCTAACAAGTTGTGGCTAAGTGGCAGAACAAAACCGTTGTCCACATTACCGGATAAAACCATTGAGTCAGATTAAGATAAAAAGGAGCACGGGAGAAAGAAAGTTAATTCTGAAGAGAAAAAGACGATAATGAATTGCCCCTAAGAAGCGGTTTGAATGAATATAAAAGTTGAAATCCTCTTAAAAGACCCTTAAAACAGAGGTCACCTTTGCACACGCTCACCTGATGCGTCCACGTTTGACACAGAGCTGCTGCGTAACCATGATGGATGGTGAGTGTCAATACTCCACCGACGGGTTCCAGCCTGACGGATAATGATGATGAATCGCAGGGGACTTCTTCAGTGTCATGTTTTGGCTTTGTGAAGAGCAGGTGAACAGATTGAAACCTGTACACACATTATTCAAGGGCGGGAGAGCATGACTAAAATATAAGTAGTCGAAAAGCTTTATTCTTCTTTCTTCCACACCCGTTTAAATGTTTCTCTTTGCTTTACCTCTCCGATCAGATTTCAGTTTATATGTGTTTCAATGCTTTCAATAAACGCTCTTTATTACTGCAGCACTCTCCCTTTGTGTAAAGTAAGGATAATTCCAATCATCCTGACACAGCAGAGTGTGAGGTAGCTAATGCCCATAAGCCAGGACATCACAAATGTTTATTGTTGCCTTTTAAACTTATAAACCCGTGTTGGGAATGTATAAAGCTGATGAGAACATGTAGCTTGTTCTTTTATTGCATACTTCTTATTATTTTTTTAATGACAACTGTAGAGTAGTAATTGAAAAAGTTGGAGAAAGCCGACTTTATCTGGCTGCAGTAGCCACTGGGACCAATAAAGGAGAAATGCCCTTATTTTTGAAAGGGTGGGTGCTTTGATCAGAATCTATACATCTTTTTCTATCAGGCAACATATTCCATTAGCTAGTTATTTGGCAGCCGTTTTGAGCCGATTCGTCACAGCCCTAAGCTTCTAGTGTTTCTGGCGCACACATTAAACACCTCTAAATGAATTAAATACAGTTACAACAATGAAAATGCAATGCCATCATCTGAGTTGTCAGTATTTTTTCTTTTTTCAAAAGGGCTACCGTTCCTTTGTTTATTTGGTAAAAGGAAGCCTTTGTTGAAATGAAGTTCAGACAATTTGCAGAAGGGAAAAACTGTTAAGAACTCAAATCCTGATACACGTTAAAAGGTCATGGAGGTCTGGCAGGTGTGAGCACGTGGAGATAAATGATCATGATTGTCAAAGAGTACAGACCTTTTAGAAAGTGGAAATGACATTAGACCCACATGAGGAATTACTTGTGTTATGTGCCTGATGAGTTTGTGATTTTAGCTTGATTATTTCTCTGTTTGCCACCACAGCGAACAGCTGATGGAGTGCCGGAGCTTTAAAGTTGATACAGTGGATTACAGTGCCCGTTTGGTTCGGATCATTTGGACTATCAATCACATTTTGCTATAATCATTTAGATTAGTACAACTAAAAAATATCCAGATTGCCAAATTGCTCCTGGAGTTAATGGCAGTGATTTACAGTTCTTTCATAGAGTGTGTGTATGTGCGTGTGCTTATGTTAACATGTTTTTCTCAGCTCTCCAGGAAGCATAATAAAACGTATATGAGTGCACGGTAGGGCTCACTCAGACTGAGCGGGTTGTCTAGCCGAACACTATTAGGCATACAAATTGAATTTTGTTTAACAGGAAATTATTCCTTTGTTTTTGTGTGTTTGTTTAGACGGACCACGACCATCCCAAAAGGAGATCATCTCGCTCAGAGCCTTCATGCTCCTCTTCCTCAAACAACTCATACTAAAGGTACAGTGAGACAAAAGGATTACTATTATCTTCATGGCATAGTTTAAGTACTTTCCATGATGTCCTCTGTTGTGTTGTATCTATGGGGTTCTCGACCTTCATCTAAAATGTGTGTGTGTGTGTGGAATTGCATTATGGATGAGTAGCCTGAATGAAACACTGTATCCTTTGTGTTCTTGTATTGATCTGTTCCTGCCGTTGTGTGGGTGTTTGAAGTTCGATCAAAATGCATCAACCAGGGGACCAAATTATTGTTGTCATCCGATGTTATAAAGCTGTAAAAACTACCAGAGATCATGAACGTATCTGTGATTGATGCCCTGTTTTTTTTTTTTATAGGACCGAGGCGTGAAGGAGGACGAGCTGCAGAGCATACTCAACTACCTATTGACCATGCATGAGGTAATTGCTCAGTGCGAAGCCACAGAGAGACTGTGAGAGCAGCTGAGTGGAGCTGGTGGCAAATTGTGCATTAAAATGTGTGGGTTGGAGTTATGGTCCACTTAAAGAAGTCAGACTGTGAGTCAGCTTCGGCGCTGTGAAAGCATAGAAAATGGTGCAACAATGGACTGAACAGAATGTACTCTTCTGTTACAATTATGTCTATTCTTGCACTAAAATAACACCCCACCCACCACCTCCTTGTCCTTCCTTACACCTCTCTCTTTGTCCTCTAAACCCTCTCCTCCTCTGACCCTTTCGGGCTTCCTCTTTGTTCTTTTTTCACCCGCTCAACTTCGCTCTCTTTTCTTTGCAGGATGAGAATATCCACGACGTGCTGCAGCTGTTGGTGGCTCTCATGTCTGAACACCCAGCGTCCATGATCCCTGCATTTGACCAGAGGAATGGAATAAGGTGAATACTGACACACAGATGAAGATATGATGCAACTGACACTAAACATAGCTTTCTTTGCTAAATAAGATATACTTCTTGTGATCATTTTGTTAACATGTTTATTTTGGCCTTTACTATTACCATTTATAACAACCAGACACAATTCTCAATATTAATTACAGGAGGCAAGAGGCACAAAATAATTGAAAGTCAAATTTGTTTATTTATTTAAAAATTAGGAAAAACATTCCTTTATACAATTGTAATCTCTCTTTTTTTAAATCCCAAAGCAGTTGCATTAAATATGCACATGTCCTATTGTTAATATACTCCCATGTTTGTTCCAATTGTATTCTCAGTTTTTTTTTATTGCACAAAACAACATTTGTAACCTTTTTTTTTGTTATGTGATTTGTCCGATAAGCAAGTAAATCCTCCGTTTTGTCCAGCAGCCATAACATAAATGCTTTACTGCATGGCTAAGCTTTTGTTTATTTTCAATTCCAAAAAGGGTAGCTTCAGCCAAGCAGCAGGACCTCTTAAAGAAGGAGTCAAACTGCGCTGCTAAGTCCCCTGAAGCACAACTGCACTTGGATGTGTTGTTGGTTGCTATGGTTAAATTTTCTGTTGCCAGAGAGCTAGTCAGCAAAATGTGTGTTGTGTTCTCACACTTATTTCCCTTTCATGTCCTCCGAGTACACTCCTTTGAAGAAAATGTTCCATTCAGCGCACGTGCTGCAGACTTTAAGGATATTTATTTATATATTATATTTAGGCAGCAGGTCTTTACTACACTGCCAGAATAACGCCTGGATTGAAAATGTTTACTGAAGTCATTCATTGACATTTGATCAGTCTTTGTTTTCCATGCTACAGGGTGATCTGCAAGCTCCTGGCCTCTAAGAGCGAGAGCATCCGAGTCCAAGCACTCAAAGTCCTGGGCTACTTCCTCAAGCACCTCGGTCACAAGTCAGTACCTCTTTGTTTCTTTGCTTTCTGTCAGATATATTCTTTTTGCAGTGTTTGTTGCTGCTGCGAAAATCAACCTTAATCTTGTTTTCTCTCACATCTAAAACCCAAATACTGCGATGTAAGATTGGGAGACTTCAGATAGAGTGTGAGAAAAACTCACTGCAGTAAAAATCACAGCAGCTTCCAGTGAGCTTTCGAAAGGCCTTTTGTTTGTTTGTGTACTTGAAGATAATGTCCTCATCATCACGTCCAGGCGGAATAATCATGTTGACAGTGCACACTGCAAGGGAGGTGGAACCTTGATGAGCATCAATGAATGCTGGGGGATTTATTCATCCCATGTGACATTGATGGCACTCTCTGCACGACATGGGAGCGGGCTGCCAAGCTGCACCTGAACCTTCAGTCTCCCCCCCCCCCCTCCTCAACATCTGCTCCAACCTAACACCCTGCATGGAGCCTCTTAACTTTACATGTCGCTGCTCGTTGAAATATAACATTGATCCAGAAAGCAATTTACACTACCGATAGTTGATATATCCGCCTAATACAAAGGAAAACAATGACATCATGATTTCAGAGCTATCAAATGCTTTATGGTATTGATAATATCATTGATCAAAAATAATAACAAAACCAAAGAAATTGAGAATTTTTAACCCATCAAACTACTTTCAAACATCATATAGGAGCTAAATATAATATAAGATAAATGTATATTTATATATACATAATTAGATGTTGTGCAATTGTTCCTTTGTTTCCTGCTTCTAATGACCTGATTATATCTGTGAATATACAGAAGCTCTGAGCATTATTCTCCCAATTCAATTAAAAAAGAATCCTCAAAGTGAGCCAACCCTAATGTCTAAACCTTTCTAGTTAAAAGCCCTTTTAGTAACGCAATTTCCTCCCACTGGCAAGGTTAATCTTCAAAGTTAATAATTTGCATCCTTGCTAACGTTGCCCCAGTGACGCCTGCAGTGATGCCGCTCTGTTAATGCCTCTCGTTCATTTCTCTTGTTGGTATTCATTTCTCGTCCTCTTTGGTCCCATCATAACTGACAGGGCCACATGGTGCCACCTGCCAATATCAAACCGGCATCAGGCCAGTGACAATCAATGTCACTTTCAACTGTCATAAATTATCTTTTGAATGGTGTGTGTGTGTTTCCTGAAGGAGGAAGGTGGAGATAATGCACACGCACAGTCTGTTCACACTGCTGGGGGAGAGGCTGATGATGCACACCAACACCGTCTCTGTCACCACCTACAACACTCTGTATGAGGTAGGGGATCAGCTCATTGACATGCTGTGTTACCAGCAACATACATGAAGTGTCATTCAGTCTGTCAGTATTCAGGTGATTGACGTGGCGTTTCATTGACGGCTGTTCCCCCTCTGTGTGTGCAGATTCTGACGGAGCAGGTCTGTACTCAGGTGGTGCACAAACCCCACCCTGAGCCCGACTCCACTATCAAAATCCAGAATCCCAGTAAGTACTAACTCATTTTAGCCTGCCTGTCTCTCTGTGTGCTTTGGTCTGCCAACAATGCAGTGTTGTTTTAATGCGAGTAAACAAACAACAAAGCCACAACTCAGAAGCCGACACTGCTGCCATGTCACAGTTATTGATCTGCCACTTACTCTCCTGTCCCTCACATTTTCCTCTCTCATTCAAACTACTATTGCCTTCTCTTATCTCTTTCTTTTCCCCATTCCTTGATTTGTTTCCCCTCCCACCCAGTGATTCTGAAGGTAGTGGCCACCCTGCTGAAGAACTCCTCTCCCAGTGGCGAGCTGATGGAAGTCAGAAGACTCTTTCTCTCTGACATGATAAAACTCTTCAGTAACAGCCGTGAAAACAGGCGGTAAGAGTCCCTAAAATGACTACTTGCATTTATTCAACCTGCATGTCATTTTTTTTGTTTAATGATTTGTGTTATTAAGCTTAATCTGCAGCCTGACTCAAATCCAGTGTCTGTGTTGTGTTCCAGGTGCCTGCTGCAGTGCTCTGTGTGGCAGGACTGGATGTTCTCCCTCGGGTACATCAACCCCAAGAGCCCGGAAGAGCAGAAAATTACCGAGATGGTTTACAACATCTTCAGGATCCTGCTGTACCATGCCATTAAATACGAATGGGGAGGGTGGAGGGTCTGGGTTGATACCCTATCCATCGCACACTCCAAGGTAAGAGCATGAAATGCACTTAAAGTATCAAAAAGCATATTTTTGCTCTCACTATTTTGCATTAAGAATCCAGAAACAGAAATCCATTAATGAAGACAAGGAAATACCAAATTCCTACTCAGGAGGACCCATTGTAAACAAAAATGCCATGCATAAAATGTGATTTTTTTTCATGGCCTTTACTATGATTATTTTCTTAACCCGACATTTCCAACTGCTGCAATCTCTGTAACTCACATTTTAATCCAAACTTATTATATCCCGTATTTGTTTTATTAGTAAATCCTATATAAGCAATGTTACAGTACAAGCAGAAGTAGATAAGTTATTTTAACACAATAATGTGCAATGTCCAAATGCTCTACTGTAAATACGATTTTGAAGTTGGGTGTGGGGGGTGGGCTTCTCCTTTAAGACGCTATTCGTTTTTTGTACTGCATGTGCAGTCATTTTGCCCCTTTGTCTGAAAAATGCTGACTGATGAACAAACAGATTTTTCAAATCTGGCTGAAGTTGGGTTAGAGCAGTGGCTCTCAAAGTGTGGGGTGCACCCCACCAGGGGGCCGCAGAGGCATGACAGGGGGGGCGCGAGAGACCAGGAGGAAAAATGGTTATTTAAAAAAATAAAAAATCATATTTTTAAAAATTATTGATTCGAAAATAATATGATACAGTACAGTACTATTACATCTGGGTCTCTGTGTTTCATTAAAGCTCGGCTCTGTGTGTTTGTGAAACGAGTACTCGCGAGCGAGAGAGAGAGAGAGAGCGCGCACCGGTACCGGAGATCGTTGTTGTTAGCTTCTGGTACTAGCGAGCTACGCTAACGGATATAAGGAGTTTTTTCAACAACAAAGTGGAGGAGAGTCCTCTCCTGTCAGACAGAGAGCTCAGTGAGCTAAAGGACTCTCAGTGTTATCTCAGTGGGTCTCAAACTGTTTGGTCACCATTAATGTAAACAATTATTTCCGAGGCACACCGTTATATGATCATTATAGTTATAAAAATAAAAGAGAATAAATTAAAACTAAAATACTATATGACATTAAAAAAAGATAAAGTTTAAAAGGGGAGTGATTTTTAAAATATCCATAAAGAAAAAGTAAATCTGTTTACAGTTCTGTTTCATATGGGTGTTGAGAGATGTATCCAGATCTCTTCATTTTGCTCTCAAAGTGCACCAGATTGATGCTTTTGACTTCAATATTTCAAAATCTTCCCGGAGGAGCTTCCCCCCGGACCCCCGTATGTGAGGTCCACACACCACCTATAAACCTGCTTACACCTATATGTCGTGAGCTGATTATCGAGCCTTCATTGTAACAGTCGCGGGTACACTGTGTGTATTCGTGGGGAGTGTTGCAGTAGAAAATTCCACTGTATAGCGACCGGTACATTAATGGGAAACCCTAAATGTTTGAGCACCCTCTATGAAACGTCAAGCTCACAGCACCCCCAAAATAAATCTCTGGTTCCGCCATTGAGCCTGACTATTTGTGTTGGGGGGTGGCCCGACTTTTTTTTTTCTCCAAACGGGGGGCCTGACAGAAAAAGTTTGAGAACCACTGGGGTAGAGCCTCATTTAATATTCACTTGACTCTATTTAAATCTATTGGTTCAAAAACGAAGGACCATTACTAGTGATATTGATTTGTTAGTATTGACATTTTCAGTTAAGCTTTCTTAAATGCTGAAAAAATCCTCATTGATTCGTACGTATTGACTATTCATTTTTTCAGTGACCTGCGAAGTCCAGCGGGAGTAGCCTGCTGATTTATGATTCATCACAGCTATCATTTTCAATAACTGATCATCTCTCTGTTCACTGTTCAGGACGGGGAATTTTCACTCACCACTTTTCTTGAGGCAGCAATAGGGCCATTATAGATGATGTATGAGACATCAGAGGGCTACCTGTTGGAGGAGTTATTGATAAGAACTCAATGTTAACAATTGTCAGCGCTTGTGTTCTGATCACATGACCAATTACATCCCCACCCTCTGCCACAGGTGACCTACGAAGCCCACAAAGAGTACTTAGCCAAGATGTACGAAGAGTACCAGCGGCAGGAAGAGGAGAACATGAAGAAGGGGAAGAAAGGCTGTGTGTCCACCATCTCCGGGCTCTCCGCTACAGCCGCCCCTGTTGTCAACGGCAACCTGGAGATTGATGACAACTCCCAGACGCAGACACCTGAGAGCGAGGCTGAGTACAGCGAGGGGGCCGGCGCAGACTCTCGCATCCTCCTGGCAGAAGGAGCTGTGAAGCGACCCAACGGAGAGGCCCTGACGCCCGGAGAGCAGGCTGCCGGGCCCGGGGTCCGGGTGGAGGTCCACGACCTGCTGGTAGACATTAAAGCAGAGAAGGTGGAGGCCACAGAAGTGAAGCTGGACGACCTGGACTTGTCTCCAGAAGGCCTTAGTGGAGGTGTGGGTGGAGGAGGTGTGGTAGAGAACGGACCTCTAGTGGAGGTGGACTCCCTGCTGGACAGTGCTTACTGCGCTGTAGTTCAAAACCTGAATGGGAGTCTGGCGCCTAAAGATGACACGCCAGGCTCAGGGGTCGGGATGGGGTCGAGTATGGGGCTTTCGGGAGTAAGCCTGGAGGATGATGGGAACATGGGTCCTCTCATCACACTGGCTGACGAGAAGGACAGCGTCCCGAGCAACAACGGATTTCTCTTCAGCAAGGTGGGATGTGATGTAGAGATTGTTGTTACTTACTTTTGAAGTGCGGTTGTCCATAGATACACATTCTCTCACAACTTCATTTACAAAAGCAAATGAGTTGCTGTTCTTCTTCCCCCACTAATATAGAATAAAATACCAATCTTTTTTTTTTTATCAAGGTCTTTTTATTGGTTTTAAGGACACTTAAGATACAATGATCAGAACAATACAGTATTACATTCCAAATGACACATCACCCCAAACGCTCCAACAGAGCCCCACCCCTTTTATGGTATTACTTTACCCATTAGTAATGACATCAGGATTGATTCCATTAACACTTACATGTATAAATACATTCAACGTGACAGGTTCAAAGACATACAAAAAAAAAAAGTAAGAATAATAAAAAACAATAAATAAACAATATTTGATTTGCCCTAAAGAAAACCTTCCTAATGTCTAAATGTTCTTTACTTTTACCCATTATCTCTCCCAGGTTGACGAGAAGCTTCTTCCAGCTCTGGCAGCCACAGACCTTGTGCTGCCGAGTCCGGACCAGCCCACCAACAGCGCCAGTGATGACCTCAGCCTGCTGGCCCACATGACCACCTGTGGCTCAGACTTAACGCAGAGCCAGAGCCACACTTCTGGAGATCTTCCAGAGGACGGGCCCTTCAAAATCCAGAGCCCTCTTGCTGACATCAGCTCTATAGCTCAGGCTGAGAGCCAAGCTCTGATCCAGGCAGCATCAAGAGCAGATTTCCCAGAGGGGGAGGGCCCATCCGGGGCCGAGGGAGAGGCTGCTGGGCTTAAGGCTGGGGACTCAGCCAGCACCACCTCGGACACTGAGAGGTCAGATGATGGGAAGGACAAGGACACAAAGAAGATACAAACTACAGCGACCACTCAGGTGCGTTTATGTTTTAAATGATGTGTCAAATTGGACTGATTGTGTGCAAACAAATCTGCAATTGTAACTACTGTTCAGGTATCATTCAGCTAAAGTCTGTGCCATGTTTTGAATTGAACTTATTTTCCTCTAGCAATTAAAGGACTAATCTAAAAAAACAAGAACAAACGTTGTTGGTGTCTGTCAACTAAAAACACCCATGTGTATTTTTAAGTGGCAGCTACTGTACAAGCTGTATTCTGCAACCTTCAGGCTGCTCCAATGTGATTTTTTTGTATATTGATTAGCATAAAAAGCTCAGCCACGGACGATTAGTCTCTGCAGAAAAGCAGAGAGACTGCCCACACATGAACTAATTCTCTAATGAATCAGGGAATACGGACTAAGAAGTCCCAGAGAGTGTTCTGTGGTTTCTCTTATGAAATTACATTTCATAACTGTATGTATTATTAGACTAGTAAGGGGTTTACTGAAAGCCCTCTGCTGGCTGACCAACTCTCCCTCCCAACCACCAGGCCCTCCATGGTCGCACCGCAGCCCAGCTGGAGCGGGACCTCCGTGTGGACCTGGGCTTCAGGGGCATGCCCATGACGGAGGAGCAGCGCCGGCAGTTCAGCCCCGGCCCCCGCACAACCATGTTCCGCATCCCAGAATTCAAGTGGTCTCCGATGCACCAGAGGTTGCTCACTGACTTGCTGTTCGCCCTGGAGACTGATGTGCATGTGTGGAGGAGGTGAGCTTAAATGAGCTAATACTACTAGTTCTTCTGCCTTGATTTCAGGACATTGGTATTGATCACAGATATATTGAAAATGATTTGACAAAACATGTCTCACTTGCTCTAAAATGTATTTTGTGTTGTCCATTCGGCACTTATTTTCTCATTTCAGCCACTCCACCAAGTCGGTGATGGATTTTGTGAACAGCAATGAGAACATCATCTTCGTCCACAACACGATCCACCTCATTTCTCAGATGGTGGACAACATTATCATCGCCTGCGGGGGCATCCTGCCTCTCCTGTCTGCTGCTACCTCCCCTTCTGTAAGTGGCTCTACTCTGCCCCTCTGTGGTAGGAAATAAGCTTCAGGTCATCATCCGCTTCAAAGGCCGGCTGTAACTAGATGTTAACTCCAAAATCAGACTTTGAAAACCCAATAACATGATCCCAGGCCAGCATTGATCTTGGATAATCTAATATTTGTTAAATACTGTGTTATTGTGTCTATTGCATTTTTTAGCTTTTTTACAAACTTTAAAATCTTGATTTTAAGGTTGATTATTGTTTTTTTGCCAAACGTTTGCCTTAAAAGATTAAAATGTGTTAAAATAAATATACTTATAATAATATTTTCCGGGTTCCACTTGCACAGTATTTTGGCCTTTATTTGGGATTGTCCTTTACATTTCCAATCTATTTCATTTGATAGTTTGATGATCTATTAATTGAATCAACTATCTTCTTTCTTTTCCTCTCTGTGTTACATGTATTTTGTGTCTGTTTTCGTCTCTGTTTTTGTCTGTTTTTGCATGTGCAGAGTTCTAAGAGTAGTGCCAACCCTGTAAGTTGCAGTTTTTTCCTCTTTTCTTCTCTTTCTATGTTACTAATACTTTGTTCTGGTTGATTTACCATTGTGACTGACACTAAACCTTGCTTGTCTGACATCCATAGTGTTTCTATCTGTTGTGCTTCTTTGCTGATAATCAATACTCCCCCTTATACTGTTTGTATCTATTGACCTCTCTGCCTCAGTCTATCAAGTTCTTTCAGTTATAAATCGTAGATACACTTAATTTAGATACAATTTGTATAATATTCTAGCATTGTTCAAATATTATACAAATGAGGCGAATAGAAAAGACTAAAAGGCCAAGGAGGTGGATCAATAATAAGAACACATCAGAGCAGAGCATACATTTACAGATGAAAATAAATAGAGTATGTTTTATGAGAGAAAACAGCATGAGAGTTTTCCTTAAGTCCTAAGGGGTTGCATCTGCTAAGCCTGTCCCATTTGTATCAACACTAAAGAAGGCAGGAGGAGCCGGACCCCAGAGGGGGTCAAAGGGAGAGGAGGTGACCCCTGTTCCTGGGGGAGGAGGCGCAGGGGGAGAGGTGCGTAAAGAGCCTGAGACTCCCACCATCACCAGAAGAGCTAAGAGCTAAGAGCACCAACCCAAGTCCTTCTGTCCTCACCTTGTGTGTCTGTTATTCCCCAAATGTCTGTGCTCACATGCTCTGAAGAGACGCTTGCACTCTGTTGACTCTCCACTGCCCTGCACCCCCTGCTCACTGAAGCACACACAGCAAACCTCACACTGGGTTTACAAGTGTAAAGCCCACTTGCTGTGTTTAGATGTATTTGCATTTACTGAATGCTTTGTAATTGATTACTGAGGTTGGAGTCAACAAGGGGAATTTGTTTAATTTCCCATTAGATATATTCCTGGCTATCTCTACCTGTTCACTGCGACTGTTGTTGCTAATTGGCCACAGTGCTACTGTCACAATCCCACTGTAACCATTACCTGTGTGTCACCAGACTGTACTTCCTGTGTGTTGCCAGATTTCATCACATAAGTGTGTATTTCACTTGACCAGCATGTGTTCTGGGTTTGCTTTTTTGCTAGAACCGACCATGACCGCTGTGGTCATGCTCATCGAGATGATGATAGTACATTTTATAAATGTTACTTTAATTGTATACAATCTCACCACCTTTCTAAAACCAGTGAGAGAGCATCCCTGTTATTGTGGTTACCTGTTTGTTTTTCAGTGAATAACTGGCAAGCGTGTGTTTGTTTATCCTCCCTTTCCCAGACGGAGTTGGAGAACATCGAGGCGACTCAGGGCATGTCTTCGGAGACGGCGGTCACCTTCCTGTCTCGACTCATGGCCATGGTGGACGTACTGGTGTTTGCCAGCTCTCTCAACTTCAGCGAGATTGAAGCAGAGAAGAACATGTCGTCAGGAGGGCTGATGAGGCAATGCCTCCGTCTGGGTGAGTTCTAATCTTTATTTGTATTCATTTAATGATGACTTTTGATTGTTTGATTTGTCTATGAAATCTCTTTCCAATCAATGACAAAGCACAAGCCTTAAACCTCACCTATCTGCCTTTTAAAATCGAAAGCTACAAACTTTCTTATTTGGGTGTTTCAGTTACAAGGAAATACAAAGACCTATTCAGAGAAAACATGCTGGTTCTGTTGAATCAGAAATGTTATTAGCTGTGATATTTTCCTAGCATCCAAGGAGACATCTACACATTGTGGAAATAATAAAAAAATGGTGTTTAAGATATAAAATGGGTGTGCATTGCAATAGATTAGCATACAGTCCCTCAAAATCTATTGTATTGGGCTAGGCTCTAGTCCAGTATCATTTTTGCAACTGCTTACCTATTTCTCTTTTTTATTTGATTGTGTAATTGACTGATATTTGCTTATCATGTTGTGGTTGTGGTCTTGTATTGAATGTACACACCCTGAAAACAAATACATTTAGACATCTGTTGGACATCAAAAAGAAATCCTTTGACACTTGACCTTCAGAACAAAATAATAACAGGTTCCTTCTCCACCTCTGTGTCCATCAGTGTGCTGCGTGGCAGTGAGGAACTGTCTGGAGTGCCGGCAGAGACAGAGGGATCGAAGCTGCAAATCCTCCTTAACCAGCAGCAAGTCGCAGGACAGCCTCCACAGTGCCTCCACCAACAGCAAGGTATCTTACACACACATCAAATCAAATGCTAATCCAGCACACAAAACTAAAATCTGACATTGAAACTTGCATTTGGCATGACATCTGACATTCTGTCTTCCATATTTAGCAGGATCCAGACAGACTCCTGCAGGATGTAGACATCAATCGTCTTCGAGCTGTTGTTTTCAGAGATGTGGTAAGCATGTGAATGTAACTATGTAGACTGTAGTCTGTTTTAGTGTTTTGTTTTTTTTCTAAATAAATGTGTTTGTTATTTTTCTATAGGATGACAGTAAGCAGGCTCAGTTTCTGGCGCTGGCAGTGGTCTACTTTATCTCCGTTCTCATGGTGTCTAAGTACCGGGACATTTTGGAACCCCAGCGGGAGATTGGCAGGTCCACCAGCCTATCAGGGAGAAGCATTCGCCACGAGATCAACTCCCCAACCAGTACAGGTGATTCTCAATATAAGAGAGGAATCTTGGAGGAGCTGGTGGGGACTCATCTTTCTAGTCAATACTCACTTCAGGCAAACAACAATACCTTTGTCATGAACATCAGACGAGGACAAAGATAAAGCTTACAAGCAGGAAAAAAAGATGAGAAAGAGAACAGATGATATACATTTCTTGGCAATACATTACACTAAAAAATAAACTTTTGTTCCTTCAGAGCACCCATCCACAGGCTTCTCTGACAAACAGACCCCCACCCCCGTGGACGACTCCCCCCGCGCTGGCATCCCTCACACGGACTCAGGCATCGGGGAGGAGGGCCATGTGGCCGGGTCCCTGAACGGCTCGGAGATGGGCCTGGGGCTCGGCCTGGGCCTGGTGGGGAGAGAGACGGACAGAGACAGAGACAGAGAGAGAGACATGGGGGGAGGGGGCACCGACCTGCTGTGTAGCCTGTCTGACGTCAGGAGGTCACAGGAGAGCCTTCTGGACTCGCCCCACAACCCCAACATCAGCCAAGCCCCGCCTTCCTCCATCTCCAGCATCAGCCAGACCAACAAAGGCATCAATGTCAAGGTCAGACCGGCTGCAATCTGTCTAAATGTGTTCATAGAGATAAGGCATTTGGTCCAATGTGGTTAGGAAATGCATTTAGTCAACACATGCAGCCTTGAGCAATTTAAATTAGGTTTTCATAATTAAGACAAATCTGTATTTTTAACTATGTTATATTTTTGTAATAAAATAATTAGCACATTTTTGTTGAATAATCAATTGATCTTTAAAATGACAGACACTTGTAAAAGATGTTTGTCCCAGTTTTGTCCAGTTTTGTTGATATCTTTAAATGTATTGTTTTGTCAGTGGAAAGCGCCAAAGATATTCCTGTTTTTGAATTAAAAAAATACTTGAAGGATTAATGGATTATGAAAGTAGTTAGCTGCTTGACAACGGGATTAGTTGAGTAATCGTGGCAGCCTTAGTTGAATCCCCTAAAACTGTTTTAATGTTAATATCTTTCCACATATGCACCTTTCAGTGAGGTTATATAAGGTTATGTATCATTATATCATATGCTCTTTTCTGACTCGTATACATTCGGAGTTTACTGCTGGGAATATTTTCTTTGTTGTTGTTTCAAAGAGTTTTTGGACATTTCAAAGCCTACATTAAAAGCAACATTACCAAAGTCACAGTAAGCCTTTTAAAGAAGTGATTATGTTAAGCCGTTACATTCCTCACAGCTTGTCCTTTAGTCACCATGAGGGTTTTCCCTCTGAAATGCAGGAGATCCTGAAGAGCTTGGTGGCAGCTCCAGTCGATGGCGGTGATTTGGGACAGGACTCCGGGCCGACGCCCTATCACCCCGACCCTGCCCTGAAAACACACCCCATGCTGCCCATGCAGTTCCACTCCTTCGACAGGTCAGTCCCACCAACTGTTTGACCTACAAGAGGTGGAACATAGACAGAGATATCAGAGACAGTACACTCTGACACATCAATTTATAGATTTCTCCAGTCAATACTGATCTTTTGGAGATGTGTTTTAGTTAGATGCTATTTGTCAAGGACGCAGAAATCAATTATTTGATTAGTATTTAGAACATGACCCCCTCCTCTTTGGATGGTTACATTGACAAGCTTACGCAATGTGCTTTACCTATGCCAGCAGTCCCATTGATCTTCTTAGTGAAACCCATATAGAGATTTTGGATATTGGCTTGTTGGTTTTTTCTAGCTTTTATTGTCATTAAATATGTGTGTCATTACATATATATAATATATAAACAGACACATTTAGTTGGTAATTCAAAATGGAAAACAATGATTTCTGTGTGGTAGCAGTGATACTGTGAAATGACTCAGATTACATTTGTATACTAGATTTTAGACTCTGTCTTAAATTGTATAGGGAAAGAGATTCTGCTGATTAATGATAAAGTCTTTGAACATGACAGGACAAAATCTAAGCTGGCTTCACATTTCCCTCTCTCCTCCAAACTGTTAACATAAAGCCTCTCTGCTGCTGAGTGATGGCCTGCTCATATCTCCTGTGCATCACTTAGTCTCCTAGATCCTGCTCTCTGTCAGTCCTTGAGAGCTCAGTTATTGATTGTAGAGTGTGCATAATAGATCACAATGGTATTTATGTCCAGCTCCAAAATGTCCCCCCCATGTAAATGTCTGACTCATGAAGACAGGCGAAATACGTCTCATTTATAGAAATAATGGCAATTAAACAGAATTGTGTGATGGTAAAGAAAATATGTTAGTTATTCTAAAAAAACACACCTACTGTACATAGCCAAATCTAAATATCTAAATATAGTGATACACTGTAACAATTATTCTTCTTAAAGCTTAAAAAGTGATATCTAAGAGGTTACAAGTTACAACTATTTTGAATTGTTTAATTTGTTTTAACTAAAAATGCACAACCCTTTAAGTTGCTTTGTGTGTTTTATTTATAGTGGCATAAACCAACAGTGGCATACATACAGAGGCGATATGACACAGAAACATTTGATAAAAAGAGTAATGTGTGAGCAGGTTTGTCTGACTGATGCCTTTTTGTCTTATCTCCAACAGGAGTGTAATGGTTCCAGTCAAGAAGCCGCCACCCGGCAGCCTGTCAGTCAACACGGTGGGCACGCCCACCACCAGCGGATCAGCCGCCGCCGGCAGCACCCCCAATATATTTGCTGCTGCGACAGCAACCCCCAAGAGCATGATCAACACTACAGGTGAGAGATAACACAGATATAGTGCACTCGTAAACAACATTTCTACACCCCCACAAACGATTTAGCTCATTATTCTTAAAGGTGGGGTAGGTAATTCACTTCAGAATTTTTTTTTGTTATATTCCATGCAATGCTCTTAACATCCCGATAGCAATGAATATATTAAATGCTTTGACAATAATTACATAAAAAAATGTCATCTGTGGAAGTAAAAATGTGAAAAGCTCGACCAATCATCTGAGCCGGCCCAGGCCTACCTGCCTGTCAGCCTTCCATCTGTGCACAAACTTATCTCGTGCCCTCATTGGTCATGTGCGCGTTCGTGTGTGATGGAGGAGGGGCTCTGTAAGGAAGTCTGAAGGAAGAGGCAGATTTTTTTCGGCTGCGTACTTTCAAATTCTCGCGCACTCGAGCTGGTTTCTCCATCCTTACCTAAGGGTAGGTAAGGATGGAGAAACCAGCTCGAGTGCGCGAGAATTTGAAAGTACGCAGCCGAAAAAAATCTGCCTCTTCCTTCAGACTTCCTTACAGAGCCCCTCNGTGGGGAAGCAAAGCGAAGATTTCCAGGATTTTCAGGATTTTCAGGATTCAAAAGTTGAGCAATGTTCAACTTTTGAAGCTGAGCTGGAAGCGTCAGCCAATCAAATCCCGTTTATGCAAATCTGACAGTACAAGCGCTAGCCATAGTAGCCAATCAAACCGCGTGCAAGCTGGGAGAGCCAGACCGCAGTTCATTTCCTCATATTCCAAACGAGAAATTACGGTAGCAAATCACCCGGTTCTTTACGACCAGAACTATTTACCGGGATACAAACCGGAGGAACCAGGCATGGAGGGAGGTGGCAGAGACAGTGGGTGAAACTGGTAGGTATTGGTTTCGCCTATATATATATATTGCTCGCATAAAATCCCCGGGGTTTTTTGCTTTGTATGTCGGGGGCGGGAGATTCATGTGATTGGTTGTTGGTCGCGTTGCTCGCAAAAATCCCCAAGCTCTCAGACACGCCCAGCTCCAAGATTTTCAAGATTCTTTCAAAGCTGCTGTGTGGACGTACCGTAAGAGTGACATTTAAACACAGTTGCCATGTCAGTGATGAAGAGCAGTAGTGTAGACTGAGTGAGATGTGTTGGTGGTGGGATGCGTTATAGTTATACTTGCTTTCAGTAGACTATATATATATATACAGTATATTGGAATCAATTCAATATCCTATTTATGTCTAATCACTTAATATGGAAATTGTGTTTTTGACCTTTCATTAAGAACGTGTCACCTGGTAGAAATGAGTCATTACTGTTTTTATTTAAGTCAATTGTCAGAACATTTCCTGAATTGAAATTGCTTCTGACGTTCTTAAAAGATTATCATGGCTAGTATCCTCTGTAATCAGGTTTACCAAGGATTTAAAAAGCATGTGTGTGCCCCCAGTTGACCCCAATCTATCCCTGCTGTATTATATAACTAATGACTATGAGAGTGAGCTAGTGAATTTGTTTTGGGAAAGATGAAGACCATAATTGTGAAGTAATAGGGGGAAAGGAATGAAGAGGAAAACATTTACATATCAACGTAAAAACAAATGCCAGAGGGGGGTGACAAAACAGAAAGAGTGGGAAGGAAGTGAATGGATGAAGTGATGAGGAGCTTTGTCGTGTGGAGTGCTCTGACCTCATATTCTCCATGCTGTCTTCTGGCATGGGTGCTACTGTCTGGACAGCTGGCAGATTCTTGCTAGTCGCACCGTTGACGAATGACGATGAAGAGGAGGAGGAAGAGGAGGCAGAGTCTGTGGCACCTAGGCAGGACAGAGAGTGATACAAAATCTGTATTATTCTAATATGAATCAAGCATGACCGTGATTATTGTTCAGGATAACAATTGAAAAAAACCGTATTATACAGCGGCAAACCAATTCAATTTGGAAAGTGTTTCACCAGACGAGCTGCTGCTTGTCTTCGGGTAATGGCCCCCGTTTGTGAAAATAGCTTTGCAATCAATATACAGAATCCATTCCAGGAAACAAATCCCTTCCTTGGTTCATTATGCAGGCATGATATAGTCTAATATGTCTGACGGGCTGAAAAAGCTTTGATTACAAACCCACATATCCGTAAATGTGCATTTGATTCCAATTTTGTCATTCATTTACACTTCTTGATACCATATTTGGGTCAAAAAATATCTAATGCATGATTTTCCTGTGTAATATTTCTATGTTCAGCTTCAAATGAGTGGTCTGCGCCTTCATTGATCTGGATCCTGTCCTTGAAATAGGTTCAAACTAATCTTGGAAGCATCTGCCAGTGCCATGGTTCAGTTTGTTTCTATTGTAGTTTGTTCTGGCTGTCAAAGGACAGCAAAGAAAAGCATCAAAGACTTTTCTATCAAGAGAAGAAACTCAGCCGTGCTTCATGGAGCTGCCTTTGATTTGCTGGAGGCCTTTAACACAAACAGGATTGGGACAAGTGCCATCAGTCTGGATGCCTGCTACCTCTACGTACACTAAAGAGATGCAGTGCAACAATATATGCGGGTAAATATATTTTATATATGATAATGTATAAGATTAAAGGTAGGGTAGGTAAGGATGGAGAAACCAGCTCGAGTGCGCGAGAATTTGAAAGTACGCAGCCGAAAAAAATCTGCCCCTTCCTTCAGAATTCCTTACAGAGCCCCTTCTCCAACACACACGAACGCGCACGCGACCAATGAGGGCACGAGATAAGTTTGTGCACAGATGGAAGGCTGTCAGGCAGGTAGGCCATCCAGTTATTTTAGCCAGGCCGGCTCAGATGATTGGTCGTGCTTTTACAGCTCCACGGCTTCCACAGATGCATTTTTTTATGTATTTATTGTCAAAGCATTTAATGTATTCATTGCTATCGGGATGTTAAGAGCATTCCATGGAATATAACAAAAAAAAATTCTGAAGTGAATTACCTACCCTACCTTTAAGGTCAGAACTCTGACTCTAATCTCGAAACAAAAAAACAAAATCACTTTAGGTCATATTTTAAAAAACATTCACTTGTAGCCCTAATCCTCTTCCGTACATCTGAATGTATTAATGGATAAAAAGACAAAAACTAAATGTTACACAAAATAACAAATGCTGTCTTAAATCTCTTATGCCCTATGCTTATGAGTAACCAGAATAAACATTTTAATCTTAATGTAATCAGTTTACCAATAAAAAAGTCTTACTGTTGCTTAAGCCCATATTGTTCTTAAGAAGTTCCCCTACTTAAGAACAAATGTAATCCATTGTATGTTCAAAAAGCTTCAAATCTAGTTCTTCATGTGACAATGGAATTAAGGTGCCTTACTTGGAAATCAAAAATGCCTCTAGGATTAGCTTGAAAAAAGACAGCGCCATGTGTTTTAAACATAGACTGTGTATATATAAAGGGTTTTAAATTCTAAACAAGTGCTTTATAATTATTCTGTCAGTGTACCCTGAAAGTCCAACATTAATGACTGGATCACACATCAGCTACAACAGAGTGCTTCATTTCACTTTGTCTTCATATGGAACTCATCAGTTTCACAGACACTGTGCACTGACCCTGTTCCGTCAGCCAGCTAACAAATTAAGGAATTTGTTTATTATTCCACTCCGAATCAAACGGAGCAGACTAAACACTGGACACATTTTGCACTGAGTCTACAATACAAGGATTTAATCATTATTTTCACCACATTGTGACACTGACACATTGTAAACTTGTGCTAATAATGCAACAGTTGTTTTACTTGTGGAAAGAAGATAATCATAAAGAACATAAAAGTCCTAAGAGCTGAATGAATGAATATATACATTTATTTATTTTTAAAAGTGCATTTCTGTTTTTGGTGACAACTGATTTTGATTAATAGAAAAACTACTGCCACATTTTCCTATGTAGTGTTGAAGAAGGGTACAAGGGAGGGAATAACTATTTCATTCAAGTTGTAGCCTCACTTCCAACGGTTATAGTCAGGGAGAGAAAACATAGCATTTTAAAATGTTATTTTTTATGAATTTATAAGCAAAAGTACATTTCAGACATTCAACGAAAAATGTATACGTTCAATTATTAGAGTAATGTAGGCACAATTATGGATCTTTTCTGTGTGACAGTTTGGACTGTAAGACTTGCATCATCGTAGGGAATGGAGGAATCCTCGCCAACAAGTCTCTGGGACAGAGGATCGATGAGTTCGATGTGGTGGTCAGGTACGTTGTGATACAGAAGGAGGTACTTGACTCGATGCAACTCGATTACTCTCTCTGTAATCAAGTAGTCATCGTTTAATCAAATGTTGTACAATTGCAGATTAAACTACATGTTAACCAGCTTTGATTATTTTGGACAGGTCATTTTATGATTGATTTTGCAGCTGTGTGTTGCAGGTTAAACGAGGCTCCAGTGAAAGGCTTTGAGAAAGATGTGGGCTCCAAGACCACCATGAGGATCACCTACCCAGAGGGGGCCATCCAGAAGGCAGAGCGCTACGAGCCTGAGTCCCTGTTCGTCCTCTCTGCCTTTAAAGCTCTGGACTTCAAGTGGCTGCGACACATGATTTTCAGCCAGAAGCTGGTAAGGCAGCTTCAAAATAATTCAGGGTGTGTGCTGCAGCGAATGTAGCTATAGGCTGGTGGTGTACAGTGCAGTATTTTCACACAATTTATTCACAAATCTCAAAGCTTTTCATGCCTTCAGACTAGGGGTGCACCGAATGGGAAATTCTTGGCCGAAACCGATACCGAAAATAGGAAACAGTTGGCCGAAAACCGAATGCCGAAAGGCCGAAAATGATTAATAGAAATATATATATATAATAATATATATATATAATATATATATTTTTATAGGTATATATATATATATATATATATATATATATATATTATATAATGTTATACATTTTTTACCCAATGTTGTTCAGCTGCTGATTTTATGGAAAAAATAAATTGATTATGCAAAACTTAACTTAAAATAATAATCACTATTATGGGTCCATAAAACATTTATTCAGCACTTTGAATGCATACAGTACATTTAATTCCAATCAAGTGCATTTTATTTTCTCTGTAGGATAACTACACAAAGACGCATTCAGAACCAAAGCCAGGTGCTTTAAAAACTGCCATAAACATCTAGGCAGGTAGGTCCTACAACAAAATAGTGGTAAATAAAGACTGTAACATGCCAGGCACTTCAACAACAACCAAAGACCTTATAAGTGCATGCATACAAATGTGGCAAAACTGGATAAATGCCCACATGAATGGTAACTATTTACAAAATGAAATTACCAACTTTGAATTTCAAGAATCTGTAAATTAAGGCTGGTCTGTCCTCATAAGCAAAAGTAGTAAACATGTATAAAGATACATAAAGTGAAAACTGGATACAAGAATCCACAATCAATTACAAATTAAATTACAATTTCAAGAATCTGCATAAATAAGGGTGGTTCTGTCCCTCTATGAGCAATGTAAACAACATTGTATCCATTTAGATACCGAAAGTACAATATATTGAACCACTGTGCTGCTGTCATTTCCCCCTAGATGATAACCTGAGATGGTGAATTATAACTCCAATGAAAATTGTTCAGGGAAAGTGTAGTAGAGTGACATGTAGAACTGATTAAGCTTATGATAAGCCAGGCCTGTCTACTATTAAGGAAAAGTGGGAGGTTATTTTTAATGAAGCAGTAGCTCTCTGCTTATCAGCCATGAAGTCTGTTCCTCTTCTTATCAAGCACATGAGAGCAGTGCTGGAACAGTCTCTCGCTGGTCCAGTGCTTGTGATTTGATCTTACTCCGCAATATTTGTCGGGTGTTTTTGATTGTCAAGTGTGGAGTAATCCCGAAGTGGTGAAATCTTTGCAGTTACACCCCCTCGATGAAATGTCAGCTGAAAACTGTTTTACAAATCGCAAATCCGCGCCCTCTTTTCTGATATTTTAAATATCTCCAGCGGCAGACATGTTGGCTGTGAGCAGCCGAATGGTCACGCGCCGTGCTGTCGCGGCGTTTTGATTACTCATCAAACAACACGTTAGCTTACCAACGTAACCCTGTTCTCTGACATTCGGTGATTATTTTTTCATGTTTTTTTTTTTTTTTTTTGTGTTGTTTCTTTATGTAATATCTCTTTTGTCGTGTTTCCGATATAGGGCTTTGGTGTGGTGAACCATTTGTCGTTGGGTGTCGGTTGACGATAATTATTCCGCTGTCTTAGTACTGATTTTCATATAAGTTGCTTGAATTTATTTCGATGACATCCGCTACTTCTAGTGACATATATATGGTGAAGTGATGACCATTTTTTGACAAACATTGATGTCAACTTGACTCGTTGGCAGAGATATACCAATCACCAGAAGAAATTCTAATATTGAAACAGTCAGAAACGGAAGCAAAAGCACACCCCTAGCCTTAGCGATATGATCAATTTGATGGCAACGAACGAATCATCACTTTGCGGTTGCCATTAGTTTTGTTAAAGTTATTTAACATGCGAATTAATCTTGTGATGAAGTGTTGGATGGTTCCTTGATCGTGAAATGTGGTTTTTCTTATGTGGAAATGTCATGAATTCTGCATTGTAGCTCCTTTTCCCATTCTGGTTTGATTTCCGATTGGTTTGGCAAGACTGCCAATGTTTCCGGCTCATTTTTAACTGTGAGGCATTGTATAATGTTACTTTATATTGAAGTTGATCAAGTTTTCTTTAATTGGCTGTGTCAAAATATCAATATTTGTCGTTTCAATTATATTTAAATGATAAAGACACCATACTATATTCTGTTGATATGCTTTAATGACTTTTGAGTATTGAACATTTTAGGAACACTAACTTATAGGTATGCAACGTCAGCAAAAATTCTCTACAGGTTGTAGTGTAAATGAATAGATGAAAAAAATAGATGTTGTAGAAATAGTGGGATGCGATAGTGGACAGGAGATCATTGTGCTGTGCTTGAACGTATAGGTGTGTCGAGCCAAAGACAGTATAAAGCGATATATGTAGAGACGGACAGACAGACACACACTCACACACTACTACACACACACATCACATCACGTATGTAGTAGAATAGTTTAATAATGTGAGTATAATGGTACTATAGGCTATATATTATTATTAGTCAGTATTGTCGTATAGTTTTTATAGTTAATGATTTTATATTTATGTATTAATATGATTCATGAATTATTCATGGTAATGTAGTTGTTATATTAATGCGATAATATAGGTGTTTTGAGATATACTTCATACCTTACACACACACTTACAGTGGGGCAAAAATATTATTCTATTATGTTCTAGCTATCAATTGTGCTTAAGTGTTGCTTCCCACTGAAAAGAATATCATGATGTAGATGTCTCATGTAAATTGTTCATGCTGGTACACTTCAACTATGATAATCAATTGTTATATTATTCTTAATATTCATATGAGAGACAGAATGGGGGAGGTAAAATAATGCCAGATATCATCAATTTCTGTAAGGAAATTTGTGTCTGTGTATTATGATGTATAAATCCCTACTGTTAAAATATCATGAGTGTGATATGGTCAAACCGTATCAAACACTGAAATAAGAATAAGTCTTTCCGGCTCTCACAGACCTTGTAACATTCATTCTTTAAGAGATCCTCTGTCTCTATCATTGTTAACGTATTAAACTAACTCTGGTTTGAACTACATGTTATCAGTATAATAACAAGACACCTGTCCACTATAACACTCAAAACACGTCTACACTCACTTAAACCCACTATGGCCAAGACCATAAGAAGCTGTCAAAGGTGATACACCTGAGAGAAACAAACATTGTTAGACCTGCTACCAGGTCTGGTAAGATCTGTTAATCTTTGCAAATGATTGATTAAGAGCAGCTTGAGTGTAGAAGATCAATTCGCTTGTAAGGAAGCAGTATTATTGGTAGAAAGATGGGAAGACAATAACAGACCACTGAGTAATTCTGCATCTCTTTTCTCGATCTGAGGTTGCTCACCTGTCATATGCTCTCACCCCGTAGGGGTCAAATATGTGATCACGAATAGAACGGTGTATGCATCAATATCCCAGAACCACAACTTGGTCTGTACGGTGACCTGTCAATGAGCTACTGCATGAGAGCTGGGGGACCCAAAAAAGGATAACTCAAAGGCTACCATCAGATTTAACAGAACCAACTCACAGCCGCCAAGGGAATCATTATCGCTGCTAGTGATCGACAGATAGTCCACTTCTTAAGCCTTTAAGTACATGTCAGGCCCGTCTTGAAGGTTTGCTAAGAGAAGACATGAATAGATCCAGAAATGAGGAATTGGGAGAATGTACATATGGTACAGTGAATGAAGAGCCAAATTATGAACTATAATGTTAGTAATTAATCTTATAACTAGACGGTGGTTTGGAGGAGAAAGAATGCTGAGTTGCATCCTAAGAGAACCACCCATACCTTACATGTGAAACATGGGTGGTGGAAAACATCATTGCTTTGGGGTGTTTTTCTGCAAAGACAGACGAACTAGATCCCTGTAAAGGAAACAATGGTAATGGGCGCCAATGTATCGTGAGATTTTGAGTGACAAGAGCCTCCGGTTCCATCAGCAAGGCATGAAGATGAAACGTGGCTGTGGGTCTTTCAGCATGACAATTGATCCCCAAACACACCGCCCGGGGCAACGGGAATGGAGTGGCTTCGTAAGAAGCATTCAAGGTTCTGGAGTGGCCTAGCCGCTCTCCAGATCTCCAACCCCATAGGAAAATCTTTGGAGTGAGTGTAAAGTCCGTGTTGCCCAGCGACAGCCCAAAACATCAGCTGCTCGTAGAGGAATCTGGCGGCATGGAGGAAATGGGCCAAAATACCAGCAACAGTGTGTGAAAACTTACAGAAAACGTTTGACCTGTGTGTGTGTGTGTGTGTGTGTGTGTGTGTGTGTGTGTGTGTGTGTGTGTGTGTGTGTGTGCGTGTGCAAGTGTAGTATTGTCCACTTCTAAGCAATGCATTTTTCTAATCAAAACACATGCACAATTTGAATGCTGCATTAATGAGAGCAAAGGGAAAGCTTTGGAAGAGAGTTCTGGCGAATCAATGAGGTTAACATGTTATAAACCTCCAATGTTGGCTAACCCTCTTATAGAGAGCTAAAGCTGTTAGAGGAAACATTCTCAGTATTGCCAGAGCCGGACATCTTGACACAAACACACAAGTGCTAAACACAATCTGAAAGGAGTCATTGCACAGTGCCAGGCAATACCAATAATGTGTTCCCAAAAGTCTGTGTTTATTGATTTATAAGAGCAAAGGTGCAAACAACACATTAAAGCCGTCTAGTCAATATATTGGATTTGGCCACATACAGTGCAACGTATGAAATATGATACAAAAGCAACACATATACAACTGTCTGGCGGCAACACCAGTCACCTATTATGGTGGAGACATTCATTAGGATAACATTTAAACACAACTAAATTGACACATTAAAATACAGCACTTCTGACATCAAAAACATGATGAAAAACAAGACAGTTTTGAAGGTAAACTGTTCAAATCTAACATCCTCAGGGAAAACAAGCCAAATGTACTGTATCGTTTTTATTTCATCTGGTTTCTCTCCTAATGTGTTTTTCTATTTCCAGTGGTACATGATCAGCATCGTCCACATCTACAACCGCTGGAGGAACTCTGAGATCCGTTGCTATGTCAACGGTCAACTGGTCTCCTACGGC